AAGAAGGTTATTTTCATCAACTAGCGAACAAACTATATATATATAGAGTAGCTCGTACATGTGCACAGAAAAGATAATTTTTATACACAAAAAAAATGAATTGAATACAATGTTAAAAAACTTAAAGCCAGACTTAAAGTGGAGAAGAAAATCGTGAAGTATATTTGAGAGCGTGTCTTGAAATTACCTATTTGATGACAGAAATATATATTCACATTGATGATAGATGCTTTCCTTATAAAGTTATTTCTGTGATTTCTCTGTGATGATGGCAGACAGACTCAAACTATTCCCATCTTTCTCTTTCGTCTTCTATATCTCGTCAATTTCTTTTCTTAATATTTTTCTTTCATTTTTCGAAAAGGAAATTGAATTTCCGAACATTTATATATTTATATATATCTATATAGACTCACAGATACGTCAGATATTTATTTCGTTCAGGCAAAGCATACAGATAGGTCAATGAATTGTTGATGACTTTTGATATTGTCATGGATCATTTAACAACAAAATGCAATATTTTCAGTTTAGACTGAAAGTTGAGCATCATCATCAATTCTTCTTTCGTGTGTAGTCACATATGAGGGGGTGTTTTGTAATCACAACGATGATACATGTAATCATCAATTTAAAATTTTTATATATATTTTTTTTTCAAATTAAAATGAAGATGAAGAAAAGAGTGGAAAGATAGAAAGAAGTTGAAAGAAGTGATATACACACATAATTGAAAATTGCGTATAAAAGTGAAATAATTTGTCTGCCTCCTTGTGCGAGGCACAATGTAAACATGAAATATTTTACAAATATGGCGCCGTATGATTCACATGATATAGGAATGGAATATCGATTGGAAAGTTAAGCACATACGAAAGAGAATCTAATAATTTTTCTGTGTGTACAAGAAACAGTTGAGATGTAAAGTTGAACAAAAGCAAGGAAAGATAAAATATATCAATTACAGAAAATGAAAAAAAAACTCATCCTAACTGGAATGTTTATTAATTGCTCTGGCTCCGTTCTCTTTCTGGCACAATTCCGTTCATTCAATAATTTAAACATTCGATATTGTTTTACTTCTTTCAACACTTTGTCTGTCTATCAATTTGTTGAAAAATTGCTTCTTCAAGACAGAGAGGAAAAAAAACGTGTGAGAAATGCGCGCCAAAAAGATTATTTGGAACATTGATGATCTTCTTCAACTTGTTTACTATTGCTACCGATAATGCTTTGTTTACATCAATTTGAATTGTTTAAAATTTCATTAAAAATAGATTTTTCTTATTCTTGAAGAGCACTTTTTCCATCCTGACATTCATTGTACATCAGAGAGGAATTTTTTTAAATAAACAAAGCGTCTGGTGCTCATGAAAAATATTCTTGTGGTGATTTATGAACCTCATTTTGACATATTACTGATTCTATAGTTTGAAGGCTTCTCATTCTTCCTTTTTCCACTTGCTCTTTATATTTTTTCGCCAACAACAGCAAGAAGAATGGTAGTGTTGCTGTTTTTTTGTTGTGGCTGTTGATGTTTTCATTGAAGAATGAAGAGAAAAAAAAATCGATAAAAATAAATGAGTGATAGAATATCAAAATAAAATTGACACGTAATATAATGACAAATAATATAAACCTTGTAGCATCATCATCATCTCGTCTTTTGTATGCTCTATACTGTATTGTGCAATAATTTGCTTGCTTAAATGCCAGCGCAGGTTTTTTTTTTTGGTTTGAAAAAATCGAGAGAAATTTAATTTTTTTTTTCTTGCTCGTGTATCGTATCCGAAAAAGATATTCCCGTACTCAAGCCCGCCACCAAACAACAAAAGAAATCGCATCGCTCTCAATAGCGATAAACGTTCGTGACATGCAATATTGCGTTTTTATCAATTTTTTTTTACCTTTCTTTCTCTTAGTTGCTGCCAAAAAAGCGAGCCTTTGGCATGTAAAATATGAACCATGCACATTCGAACTAAACATAAAAATAAATTATCTTGGTAACGCAAAATCTATAACACAGTAAATTTTCTCTACTTTAGTGTGTACATATTATATTTTTGCAGTTAAAGAATAAGAATAGTAAGTAAGTAAGTAGGTATGTAAAAAGAGATGAAATTATGCGTGACTACGTAAACTTAATAATTGTTCTATATTGATCGTCGATTGATTAACGGAAAACGAGTAGAGACGAGGAATAAGAAATGAGAAGATGTTCTGCAAGACTTGGAGTTATTAATGCTCGAAACAAAAGAAATTGCATAAACATAGTAAAACAAGAAAATTCTCCAAAAAAAAGTATGGGAATGGGTTTCTTCTTGATCATGTCGATAATGAAGAATACTGAGTTGGGAATAAGAATAAGAATAAGAAATTGCAAAAAAAAGTAATAATAAATTATCAGACACACATATTATGTTACATTGCTGCTCGAAAACTCGAAAATGATAATCAATTAACAATTGACAGGCCATTGCGTACCAAAAATATGAAATTTTTTCATATATGTGTTATGAAGATGTTTACGAAAAGTCCACAACCATCATCATTACCATCGTCGTCATCATGTGACTTATTTTTTAACTTGTACTTATGAATTCCTTATGAATAACACAAAAAAGAGAAAGAAATTAAAAATGTATAAAAAAAATTTGTCAAAGAAACATTCCACTGTTCCATCAACTCAATACAAGACGTGAATTATGATGAAACTGTGTGGACTGTGTGTAAAATTGAGCGATTGATTTCACATGCTATGCGAAGAAGGAATTGAATAAAATATTTTTTGGAATGAAACATTCTTTTTTGCTTACTTACTTACTTACTTACTCACTGACTCTCTATGCAAAATGTTAAGAAGCGATCGAAAAGGAATTGTTCGAAAAATATTTCGAATACAATTGAAAATGAAGTGTTTAAAAGAAGTCATAAAGTCATAAAAATTATTTTTTGATGTACTTCTTGATATTTTTATGAAATTTGATATGCTCTTGTTCTTTATTTTCTTCTTCCATCTTTCCTTCATATTTCTCAACCATATATACATTAATTAAATGAGCATTAACTTCAACCTTCACACATAAAAATGTATTTTATAAGTACATATAATCTTATTCATAAAATGAAGTTAACATTTTTATTGTTTTATGATTTTTCTGCTACAAACACAAGAGCACCAGGAGAATTTTTAACCAGAAAAAAGTGCAATTGAGTGAAAGTTAAGAAGTTAAAATTTATTTTCTTACCTGTTTTATGTTCATATTTATTTTTGACATGACCTTCAATGCTGGAAATCTTTTTAGTAAATCCTTAATTTTTCTTATCCATCCGCATGAAGGATACGCACTATATTGCTTCACAGTAGGACATTTGCGAGAGGCAAGGATAAACATATGCTTAACATATTAGAAACACATAACCATTTCACTTTTTTTTATTTAATTTTTTTTTGAATGTCGAAGAAGGGTCTATCCACATCCATCTTCTTTCTTTTGTTATTTTTAGTTCATATTACATGTGATGTGAGGAAAATTTGTTGAAGCATTCTTTTGGTTAATTTTTATTATGCTCTTCATCTCTTGAAAGATGAGAGTGAGCCTGTGGAAAATTTATTTGACTTTAAAGTACCGTTTAATGTTGTACAAATTCCTTCTTATTCTCTTCTCTAAAATTTATATCACAAAACAAGGAAGTTAAAGACCTACAAAATGAGAAAAAAAATAACAATAGTAATAAAAACATTGAGTGTGAGCAAGAGAGCAAAAAAAAGACACAAGAAGATGTGAATAATTCTACCTGTGTTAAAGTCAGTCAGTTTTGTGTGTTGTTTTATAAATCTCTTTTACTTAAATTAATATATGACGGTCAATAAAACAGTAAAATTGTAACTGAGACCATGTTTGTCTTTTATGATCCACAACAGCCATCAAAACAGCAGCGATAACTAATTTCAACTTATCTCTTCCTTTTAAAAATAAATTTTTTATGCTCTCTTATGCCATATATTCGAGTAGAAGTTTTTTAAGAAGAAAAATGTAAATCACTTTCTTGTTTTCTCGTAAACGAAAATGACGAGGAGAATTTATGTCTCTTGCAATTCACACATTTTATTGTGTCAAAAGTGTCTATATATTGAGATCTTCTCAAGAGTTAATGGTTTTATGATCTATACAATTTTTCAAAACGAAACAGTTAAGAAGAGGTAGGGTGAGTTCAATCAATGTTATGATTTATTTACTCATCATCATCATCAGCTTCTTGATATAGAGATACAAATAAAAAAAGAAGAATATTAAGATAAATTAGATAAATGGATTTATTATGAAAATTGTTAAGTCTGTCTTGCTATTTTTGAACAAAACTGTCATTGATTATTTACATACGTATAAATATTGTATACAAATAGAGGAGATGAGGGGATGACATAAACAGTAAATTATTATTTTTTGGCATTTTTTTTTCTTCATTCTTTCTCGCTCACTCATTCATTTCACTTCATTGCTCTACTGAAAACTAATCCCTGACCTAAGATACGTGAAATAATTTGTTGGTTTTATCCGTCACGATCATCATCATCAAAAAGCTCATTTCATTTATTACGGCTCCATTTATGTTATTATTTTTCTTATACATGTATATATATTTTTTCTTTCCTTTGGGTGGCTGGCTGGTTGGTTGACTGGTATGAAGCAAGAAACTTTAAGGCTTTAAATGATGGATTAAAAATGATTTATAAAAGTTGTGTGTATCTCTTCGTCAATTTGCAATTATCCATGTGGATTTCTCTGTTCGTTGACCACATGCTGATCTCCAACAATCGTGTTGTTCATTGCGTTGAGCCTTCTACTTATTACTATACTATACGTACGAATGAGATGACTTATATACATTAGCAATGCATGCTAATTAATTTTTAGCCTTATACTGAAATCGCCTTGTTAATAATTTTCTTATTCTCTCATTTTATTTCATTTTTTCTTTATTTTTATTCATTTCAGATACGCCAAGAGAAACCTTATTATGTAGCTGATCCTGAAGTTGATTCACTTGTAAGTGTTTATATCTTAGATTTTAAAAATTATTCAACTTAAATTTCATTTTTTGCATTTCATTCGCCGAGTTAAATTAATTAAACATTATCCATGATATGTGCAATATGCAATCAAACAAGAGAGTAAGAAAAAAAAATATAAAATAAGAATTTAATTGAATTAAAGTTGAAAATTACAAATTTATAAGAGTAAAAGAAATAAGTAAATATTTAGACCGTAATATTTCATTTGACAAGCCTTCATGTGTGAAATTGCAATTTTAATTTTTAATGCACAAGCTTTGGACTATTTATTTAATTAACTTTGACGTTTTATTTGTTTTTATTTCTCTTCAGTTAAATAAAGGCAGTGAAATAAAACATTTCCAAGATATTTCAATTATAAAAAAGAAAGAAAAAAAAATATTGTATATGAAATTACTCTCTTTCTCATTCGATTAATAATCATTTCAAAATGTGCAAGTTTCATGTCAAAAGCAGACAGAAGAGAATCAGTTGAAACATGTTTAACACCTTCCTGATGTTGTAATATTTTTTCCTACATTTCCTGTTGAATCGTAACTTTTCTCCTTCTTCTTTTCATTCTCTTTATTTTCATTTGCGATTGCAATTTTTCTGCAATACATTGCATTGATCGGTGATGCAGAAATATAACATGAAGCGCACATTCCTGTCGTATTAATTTTTTATTACAATCGACAAGACTCTTTTCGTTCAATATATTTAGATCTTAATTAAGCAGCAGTAAACAACTTAGCATAGCAGGAATCTTGAATGAATATTCTAGTTTGTCTTATGACTCGTGCTATTTTCAATTTCTCTACACAAATTTATTTTATGACTGAAAATAATATATGTAGACGTTTATCGTATTGACCTCGAATAAGTAGTCCAATCGGAGTGAAAATTGTCAAGAATGTTACACAAAAAAAAAATTGCAATTTATGCAAAATAGAAAGATTGCCGATTCAGCAACTCAGGCGCCTATATTTATTTTATAAGAATCATGTTAGACATGCTTTGACCTGTAAATGTCTAGTTTATTCATAATCCTGCTATGAAAAATGATACTGAGACTCTCAACCTATTAATAGTAAATTTTGATGAGTCATGTCATAGACAAACAACTTTAGAAATTATAAATCAAATGCTTGTCAATGAAATTACATAAAAATTCAATATCAATTATCTGGAAAAATTCACATGTTAAATTAGAGTAAAAATCGTTGTAAAAAAATTAATTTTTCCCCAATTTTATCTCTAGAAGATTTCTCAATAAATTACTTGCTTGTTGCACTTATCGTAAATATGATTGATTAATGAAGAAAACATGAAAACAGAATAAATATTTTTTTTTAAAAAAAAAGTCGAATGCAATTGCAAAACGAAGAGAAAACAAAACACAAAAAAAATAAAAATATTCAACACGTTTTCTCATTTTTGTGCACATGCATACAAGAAATGAACCACCCACATCGGTGTGAATCAATATAATATAAAATGAAAGAAGATACATCGGTCGCTCTCTCATTGTCGCCTATATTGTAAATTTCTTACACGGATAAATATTGTTGCATGCCACAATAACTCACATTGCAATGCAATTGATGATAAACTAAAACTTAAAATATTGTGAAATTTTAATTCAATTGACTAAAATATTATCTTTCTTTTGTGATATTTCTAGATGGTACAAGCAATTCAAGTACTTCGGTTTCATCTTTTAGAACTGGAAAAGGTAAGTGATTTACATTTATTTTCCATCACTGATGAAGACGAATATAAAAGAAGAAATTTTAATGAAAGCACAACAAAGCAAAAAGAAAAAAAAAGATTTAAATGCGCGAATAATCCACCATATTTTTCCATGGATGTATATATATATTTATTTCTTATTTTGATGAAAACTGTGAGCATCCATGTGATGGATACATTTAAATGAAATAAACCGCCACACACTGTTTTCTTCATACACGAAAATCAAGAACAAGAAGAATAGAATATGAAATGAAATATATAAAAAAAATTTAAAATTCAAATAATTTCTTCTCGGCTGTTTTTTGCACAATCTGTAATTAATCATTTGCCATGCCGAGAGTATAGGAGAATAACATAAATGACTGCACACACCACGCTTAACAGAGGAAGAAAAAAAAGAGCAAGAAAGGGAAGAAAAAAAAATTCTTTAAAGTCTACTAACGTAGAGAATTACATTTGCATTTACAATTAGCGGAATATAGTGTGAGCAAAACTGATTTCTTATAGTGATGATGATTTTCTTCTTTTTTTTTGGTTGAAGATTTTTATGAGCTTTTGTTCTTAATTTCCTCGTTCTTATTTCACTCTCCTCTACTTACTTAATTTATATTGAGAGATTTTTTTTTGTTGCTTCCATACCATAAACTACTTTGGAAATTGAACGTGCGAGAAAAAGAAGAAAAGAATATAAAATAAAAATAATTAAAAATTACCATAATTGCTACAAATTTGTGCGCTAATCACCTTTAGTCTCTTAGTTAGCTCCATACATACTCACAAGTGCTGTTCAGTGTCAGCTTGTGAATTGAACATGAAAAATTTCGCCTTGTTGAGAAAAGAAAAATTTTCTTCAATGAATTTGCGTTTTTCGTTGGTAGATTTGTGTCGTTTTTACATTGAATTGAATATGAAAGCACAAGCAGTTGATCGTATGCTAAAGATTACACATAACAAGAAGAAACTTTAATTAATTTGGAATTTATTGCGCTTATTTAACTTTGTTTCAACTCAATTTTTATTTCTTCTTTAAAACTATCGCCATTATTCAAAAGATGAAAATAAAGACCTATGAGAGTAAGGGAAACAAAAGATCATAGATAAGAAAATAAGCGCACAATAAAATTCTAGTATAGGAGAACCAAAAAAAAAATGATAATTACAAAATCAAAAACCGTATCGACTGCCTCAGTTGGAAAAATACATACAGTACGGTGAAAAGAATATGAAATAATGTAGTATAAATATTCAGACACATATTAGATTAGAGAGATATACATAGCAAGCTACCCAAATTCAAAAGAATATAATTTCATATCTATCTGCTCTCGTATGTACATGTACATGCTTATTTCTCCAAGCAGAACAATTAACTTGTATGAAATTCTCCTTTTTTTACTCATTTTTTTTTGTAAGTACAATAATAAAATGAAGCACATAAGTATAAATACACACAAAAAGGTGTATCATTAATGTCTTACCTCACCGTTTAATATTCTTTTCTTTTTTTGTTTCTTGGTCTCATCTCTCTCTCACTCACTCGCCCGACTCGTTGAGTTCTATTGTTATACATAATATTATTTTCGTTGGGCAAAAAAAAAATTGTATTCAAAGATGGTAAAAAAAATAATAATATTAATAATATTAAAAAAGATTCCTACGCAGAGGGACAGAGATGGAGACGATGAGCAAAAAATACGATAAAATGTTATAGAAAAGACAAAAGAGCATTTTTTCACTCTTCATTATAAATATTTTTATTTAAATTAAGGTGTTATTGTTGTCAAAACTGCAATTTTCACAATGAAATTTCAAGTTTCTCAGAACTGAACTGAAAGGAAAGAAAGAAAAAAAGTTTCTGTTGTTTAATGAAAAACCTGTTTTCGTCATATGTCCGCAAAATTTATATCGTTTTCTCACAGAGAGGGCTCAACTCAACGCAACGAGTGAAATGAAAAGAAAAGGAAAAAAAATGTGTAATAAAATTTAATGTTTCCAAATCGGCCATTTCAATTTCTTATTTTCATTTTTTTAAACCATGTTGTTGCTGCTTCGCATATGCGAAAAAAAATACAACAAGGTTTATAATTTTAACTTCACTGCTGAGATGTACATACAGAAGAAAGACGGATATCATCAACTATATTTTTCATCAGGTTGTTAAAAACATTATTAATTTATTTTTAATTTGTAGGGTATGTACATTTAAAATATACATACAAAATGTACTGAGAAAATCACCAATGAGATTCATTTCTTCATTTCTTTGAGATTAATGGATATTTTCAATTGCGATTTTCATATCTCATGCGCGCCAAATAAACTTATATGTGCAATATTTTCTGTATGCGAATTCATTCAATCGACGACGATGAGGAATATCATTACATTATTGTTATTATATATAAAATTGGCTTTTCAACACGTTTTTGTGAGAGCATGCTTGTTCTTGCATTCATTTGGTTTGGGTGGCAGCAATTCATCTTCAATGTATCGATACCTGTTGAAATAAATATCGAGCTATTTTCCTTTTGGTTCTCGATTCGTAATTTAAATTATATGAAGGATATTTCCAAATCCTTAACATACTAAAATGCGCTACTATGGACATGTCTATTGAAATTTTTCAACTAGTTTTTTTTCTGTTGCTCATCTTGCAATTTTTAATGGACTTTACATCTTCAGACATATATCCTGACTCTGGCTTTTAGTGGATACGATTCACTGAGACCTGCGCTTTTCACATTTCTTTCATTCTTCTCGTTTTCTTTATTATGATTATATTTTTTTTTTTCATCTTTACCTTTACGTTTCGTTATAATCCATTAATGTTATTTTCTTTCTCTCTTCTGCTTTTCTGATAATTTGTCCAAAGGCCACATATTCACTTATTAGCATATTTCGATGATTATTCCTCTATCAGGCTTTACGTTTATTTCGCTCATTCTCTCGTGTGTTTTGCTGATTTTTTTTCTTGTATATTTTTTTTTCGCCAATAGCAATAGAAGCATCAAGAGAATCCAAAATAAAAAAAAATATTATAAGCTGAAAAAAGAAATAACGAAAAAAATGAATATATGTGTATGAAAATGACGGCTTAGTGCTTAGTGAAGGCTCGATGGAATGTTTGCTTGATTACAAAGAATGTTCTTTTCGAAAAAAAAATTATTTAAGAGAAAAAAAAATCCATAATGGTGAACTTGTTTTTCATTCCTTTTGTGTTTTATGTGTATTCAATATGGACGCGTCCAGTTAATACGAACGAGATTTTTAATTCGTCATGCTTCACATTAAGCTCATCTGAGCTCATCCAAAATATTCAACACAGAAAAAAATTAAGGAGTGAAGATCTCTTCTTCTATCTGCTTCAATATGTGAAGATAAAAAAAAATATTAAAGTTTTTCAATTTAGATCCATGTTTGTTAAAATTTAGACAGGAATATCGAAACACATAAACATAACATTATCTCATTTAAACATCTCCTCATGGAAGTCTAAAAATTGTATTGAAAAAGCATTCATTGCGGACATTCTGAAGGTTAACGTCGCGGCATGTATGCAAGCTTATGCAAATATGTATGTGCCGATGGAGAAAAAAAAATGCCTTTTTTTCCTCTGCATTGCTTCTGTTAAATCAAGCGCGCGGTGTGAGAAGTTTGTAAAAAGGAATGAACGATTCTTTAGATTGAATATATAAATTCACATTTTATACTCTTTTTTCATTTCATTTCACAAAAGAATGTTAAATGTAGATAATGAAGATATATTAAAGATTTATTTTCCATTCCATTTCAATGCAAAAATGAAATTGTGCATAATTTTCATATCACCGTACTACGAGTTTAATGTCGCCATTTTCAATCAGCCAATTACTTTAATTATATAGTTCTCCGTCATGACAATTTCTTGCATTTGCTACAAAGCGTCAGGTGTGCCAAGTTTCATCATAAAAAATCATATTTCTGGTTATTAGTTTTTCCATTTTTCTACCTTTTTTCCTTTACTGTCCTGTCGTCATGTTCGCATTGAAAATTTTTCACAATGACATTTCATTCGGGCAACGCATATACTATATACCTTTTCGACTCTTTATTGATCCAATAGTCACATGAGTTTATCCTTCTTAACTGCTGTTGCTACCCTTTTGTGAAGCAAAAAAGTCATGTTCATTTATGTGTTTAAAGGACAACAAACTAAGTGCCAATGACAGACATAGGACATTTATAAGAAACAGATTTATTGTCACACATAGCAGACGCAATTTTTACTGTAAAAATGGAATCAAATGGAAGGAAATTTTTATTTGGTGTATAAGAAAATATAAAAATAAGTAACTAAGAAAGCGAGCGACGCGATTAAGAAAGAAATAAGAGAATTCTCATATTTTTTTTCCTTTTCATTCTTTCTTTTTTTTTCAAGAGTAAGGAGGAATTTGATGATCATTCAAAAGATCAAATATCGTCGTCGCTTTTTTTTTATTTAAGAAATCGACGCACACAAATGTAAAATTTATAAAAATTTCTCAGAAAAGCGTTTAAGGCTTAAAAATAAAAAAAAAAGAAATAAGAAAAAAACGATTCTTTGTTACTCTTGTTTTTTATTCTTTCAAAATGTTTCTCTGCTGACTGAGCAGTATAACAGAAAATGAAGCATTCTTGATCATTTAAGAGATTATTATTTTGGTTGAGGCTCGGGTTTTTTTTTTGTTGTTGTTGTTGTTGGTGCTGTTTTGTTTGTGAAATGAACAAAGAGATGCGGATCTTACCTTTGTGCACCACAATAACAACCAGCAAGTTGGCTTTCATTGCAACATGCAAATGGTATTAAAGAATTATAAAAAAAAGCAAGTGCTTTGAATTTTGCGAATCAATGTATTTTGCATATAATAACCATAGATTGAATCAAAAAGAGACTTCTTTTTCGATATATTTTTTCCTCTCATTTTTTTTAAAAGCAAAGAAAATTTGCATGAAAATTACCGCAAAAAATCGCTTTCATGCTTGATAATTTATGCAAAAATGATATTCTCTCCCGTTCGACAACACAAAAATATATTTAAAAAAAACCTTCAGAGGAATCTTAATTTGCATATATAAAATGTCGCGCATCATTCACTGGTTTTTAATTTAATTTTTTTTTTCATTTTTTTTGTTTTGCAAAAAATAATAAAATATTAAAAAATTTTGAAATTTCCCTCGCAAAAATTAAATATTCAATAACACTTGTCTGCAGTTGTTCATAATATTCAGTGTCTAATGATGAGCCCAGACTAATTTTAATACTTTTACGACTTTCAAGATCCTCGTACATATTTGCAAAGCCCTAAAATTATGCGTTGAATAAGTTCAGTCAAATTTCACAAAAGTAATTTTTCTACAATACTGTGGAATAAAAAGAAGTAGAAGCAAAGCCGAACAGGAGATATCTTCATTGGCAAAATATAAAACTGAAAAGAATTGCATAATAATAATATTGTCCTCATACATGCAATGCACGTTGCGTAGGTTTATTATCATACTAATATGTACGCATAATATCAACATACATATAACGATATTATTGAGTAAGATATAAAGCAAACGACGCGACATATTGTGTAATTCAATGCAATTATATATTGTATATATGTGTATATGCAGCGCATAATTTCGCAATTTCTTTTTGGAGTAGCGTAGAGAGTAAGAAAATAAACCAACCAGTTTGCTGATTTCTTTTCATTCTTTCACATATAGAAAACAAAATATAATCCAAAATAAAAACATTGGCAATAAAAAGTCGATTTTAAAGCATAAATACAAGCAAGTGAATGAGATGGAAAGATCCAGAGAGAGTGCAAAAGCAGAAAAAATTATTCTTTATTAAAATATTAAATTTCTTATCTTGTCGAATTTCATTTCAATCAGTTCTGTTTCTTCTTTTCCACTTTATTTGCTCTGCTTTACATTTCTTCGGTAGTTCATGTATGTATCATAATAAAATAACATTATGCATACATATTATGCATAATAAGTTACTATGCTACTGCCTCTTTTTCATGCAACTGCTACTGCTGCTCCTACTATGAGATAGATAAAAGTTCTGTCTTATCGCAATTGCAGAAACTGCAAATTTATTTATTTTTATTTTAATTGCATCCGACAATTCAATATAAAATTTATCTAAATCTCTCATTCTTTCCGTAAATATATATCTCCTACGTCTACGATTTTTTTTTTCTTCTTGCAGTAAGCAATTCAAATAAAATTTATAATATATCGTATAGACATGTTATCATTATTTTATGACATTATAATACCATTTTGATGACAGCAAAATTACAAACTGTTTTGTGATAGAATATAAACGACTCCCGACAATCTTTCTTGCTCACAACTGTTAAGTTCGTGTGTATGCGTGGTGATGATGAAAGGAATTCCTTAAAAAATTTCGTATATTTATATGAAAAAAAAAATACAACCGGAAAATTATAACTTACTTGTTCCTACTTACTCTCGTTCTTTATTTGCAATCATATATCAAACGGTGGATTAATAATTTAATTTATAACTGTCGTAATATTCATTCATGACAAACAGCACATAACAATAAAGTTGTGCTGTTTATATTACGTCGATGCTCACATGTTTTTCTTTTATTCGTTCTTTTGTGCTTTCTTCTTAAATCAAAGTAATTCCCAATAATAAAATAAATACCTATTTATATTTCCCCTAATTTTGAATATTCTTTTATTTCTTTTTTTCTTTTTCTCTTTCTTTCTTATAGGTCCATGAGTTATGTGACAATTTCTGTCATCGTTATATTTCATGTTTAAAGGGTAAAATGCCAATAGATTTAGTAATCGACGAACGGGACACCACCAAACCACCAGAACTCGGAAATGCAAATGGAGAAGGCCGAAGTAATGCCGATTCAACATCACATACAGATGGAGCTAGCACACCAGACGTTGTGAGTACCCCCTTCGCGGGAGCACATGGTCCAATCTTGGCGAGCTACAACGCGGTGGTGCACCCATGTTCGTAGTACACTACATATGACCTTCTTGCAAAAACGAAGCGGGTGCTCACAATGCCCTGGGAAAATGGCCAGAACTTCGCATGAATTGACTAATAATTAAAGAAAAAAAAAAAACAGATAAAAAAAAATTAATTAATGAAGTTGCGCGCTGAAATTTAATAATTTCTATTTCTAATATACATTAATTGCTTGAAATATATACTGAGAAATATTTATATACAAAAAAAGTACATTCAACATGAAAGAGAAGATTGATGAGGAAAAGAATGAAATTTATGTGAGTAAATGAGCCAAAATATGATCTGAAATATTTGTGACACGCACTATCAGACGAAAAAATTTAGGAGAATTTCCTTTGCTTTCTTATTCTCTTGACATAAAAATGAGTGATGGAACCACGTGTTTTTGCCTCACAACAACAAAATCAACAACAAAAAAAAGAAAAGAATAAAAACTCTTCCTAGTCTTGTCATATTAAGATTCAAATTATGTTCTTGATCTCTCCAATCGATGCATAATGACACATCTCAAAAAATTTCAGTATTATTCTCATCATAAACAAAAGAAAAAAAAGCAAAACAAAAAAGAAGAAGAAACAAGAAGAAAAAAAAGAGCGATAAATTTTGAGCGTAATTGATATGTGTCACATATATACGATCAAATAATGACCTCCAAAAACATTTATTCTAATAAATTTCATTCTCTTGCTTCTCTTTCTTTCTCTATCTCTTTCATGTATATTTCTAAAAAAAAAATGAAAACAAAAACGTAACCTAAGTGAAGAAAAGCAAGAAAATCACTTAAGATGAACATTGAGAGTGAAATATAAGCAACAAGATCTTAAGACATTAATGCTACACAGCGAAAAGCGAAAAAAAAAGTGAAAATTTTTGCATTCTAATTAAACGATTAAACAGCAAAATGAGAACGGAACATGAAGAAGTAACAGAAGAAAAAGTTTTTAAGATTATTAAAATGAAGGAAAAATTCTTTTTGTATGAGATTAAAACAAGACAAAAAATTATTAAGGAAAAAAATATATAAGAAAGCAACACAGCAACAGAAAATACGTAATTAATTTTAAGAAGGAAAATATATATATACATAGATATATATATATATATATGTATACATAAAGATAAAATATTTACAATACAGTAATGAATTATAAGAAGAGAAAGAATAATAAGAAAATGGTGGTGATAAGAGAAAATATACTTCGTTTTTGCAAGAAGCCCATATAGCTCGCCGAGTGTCAGACACATTTGCGCAAAATTTAACAACCACACAATGTGAGAGAGCACATGATTAAATCAATGAAACATTAAAGGATGAAAAGGTATAATAATAATCGGATTAAAAAATTTTTATAAATAAATAACCTTTACTTTATACATTCATATGTGTAACTGCAGATTTCGTTTTATCTTTTTTTCCAAAACGAAAAAATTATTTTCCTCTTGGTGCTCTTATTAAAAGAGAGCACACAAGGAAATAATTGAAGGAATTTCTTTTCATCCGCTTTCCAGATTTATATCTAATAACATATTATGTCGCTCTGATTCAATAATTTGATACAACTATGTGTGTGTTTGTTGGATTTTCTCGCGAGTGCATGTTTAAATGCAAAACTTTTATTAAATTAAATTTTTGCAACAAAATTAACATTGTTTGATGACTTATCGTGTCATCAAAGCGAGATCAATTGACATTCTTTATTTTATTATTATTTTCAATGATATCGAAGGAAGTTACTCCTTCTAATTCTATTCTACAATTTCCACCCAAAAAAACAAAATCGTCTACTATATTAATTTTGCTCGAATTTTTTTTTATGGTATTTTTTAATAAAAAATTCTCAAATGAAACCTCCTATCGAATCTCCAATTGTGTCTGCATGAAAAAAAATTAGTTCTTTGTGTCTAAAAACAATCAACATAATCAACATAATGATGAACATTCTTAGTGAACATAAAAGGACAAATCAAAAATGAAGAAGAAAAAAGAAAAGATTCTTTTAATTCTTAACGATATACGTAATTAATAAATGACTGATTATGATTGAATTATCTTCGTAAAAATATTAATTTTTTTTCACAAATCTTTGTTCGTTATTTCCACAAATTATTAATGAATCTGAGTATACGAGAATGAAACAAAAAAAATTATTATGAAAGAAAATTTATTTAGTATTTAAAAAAGCAAGAAAAACGAGAGTCGCCCAAAATTAATGCTAAGTTTAATGCTTTTATTCAACGATCACAATTGATCGTGTATCTTTTATTTTCTTGTGTTTGTTACTTCAAAGACATAAGCTACATAATTCCATAATCTTGGTTTCCTTAACTATTCAACATATGATATACGATAATCATAATAATAATAATGGCGGGTGACGGAGAGACATTGATAACACAGTATACGTAATTACATCAAATGCTTTCATTTTTGAATATTTTAAGGTATATAAATTAAACAAATTATTGTGTCCAATAAAACTTTCTCGGTTGAACTTTGTATACGAAACATATTTGATGATATTTGATACGAAATCATGAAAAATAGACTTTTAATTTCGCGCGACGTTAAGTTTCTTTAATTCTTAATTCATCTTTCAAGTAACTAAATGGATGTTCGTGTGAATTACGCTCTGTCGATCACATTGTTAGATACCTAGCAATTTGGTCATCAACGCGTTTTCTTAATTACGTGGATTAAAAACTAGCCTCAAGCAATCATTTTAAGTTACAAGCGATCGAATCTTTTTTGTTGTGTCTATATTTCAACATAAAACCCCAAACTATTGGAATTTAGTGACGAAAGAAAATCTAATTTACTTTACGCACTCTTTGAAATGCATTACTAATGCTGTAGAATGAAAAACAAACAACAAACTTTTAAATTATCTTTCTCGAGTTGATTTGATTTCTATTAGATAAATTAAGTTTCTTTCAATTTTATGATTGAAAATAAACAGAAACAAAAGCAAAAACACACGAAACTTAAATGAATGAAATTCCAATCGTAAGTTCAAATGAAAAGTATACGAAAAAAAAAGTTTAAAAAATTTCACAACAAAAAAATGAATAAATTTAAGATTTATAAATTTTTTACTATAAATGAGGATGAAAAATAAGTAACTTACATATTTTTCACATGAAAATGAAAATTAAGTAAATAAAAAATGAAAAACTTGTCAAACATTTTACATTGAACGATATAATCGCGTGAATCATCATCAACTTCATTCATTATCGCATGCGATGAAATGATATAAAACATACTAAATGAAAACGTTCAGCAACAAATGAAGTGAAATGAAGAATATAAAGTTTTTTTTTAAGTAAGTCTCTAGAGGATATATAATGATAACATTTAGGTATACTTGACGACTATAATACAAAGCTATATGGGCATTAACTAAGGACAAATATTTGCTATAAAAGATTTACTTAAATCAAATAGATTTTTTGTGTATATTTTTTACGAATTAAACATAATAGTGCTATAATTTAAATAAATTAAATGAAAACTTACCATTAACTTACTCTACATAACGAAAAGAAAAAAAAATTGAAAATATTGATGAAAAAATAAAATTTGAAAAGAAAAAAAATTTTCTTGCAGAGAGGAAGAAAAAAAATTTAAAATAATTATTTTGTGATTTGGTTATGATAATACATGAATGTTGCTTCATCTGTGTAAATATAGTATAAAACTTTTTCCATGATTCAGGCAGATTGAGATAAAGAAGTCTAACTCTAAATTAGCTTTTTTAATATACAAATGAATATGATGAAAAAAAAAATCGAAAAAAAGAATACAAAAAAAATGAATAAATAAACCAAGCTTGCATTATTTCTTATATAGCTACTTCCTTCAAAAAAAAATAGTTTTTGTCATTCGCTAGTTTCAATTTTTCCTCTAAGAAAATGAAAAAAAAATAATTAAAAAATTCGGAAGCAGTTGAAAAGTTTTTGAGAAAACAATTTAAGTTCTAAACTGCTCGATCCAACCAATGATAGTGTACGTCATCAAGGTTATGAAGAGGTATCCAATAAATTTATGAGATAACTTAAAATTGTACAAAATTTCTTCCCTATTTAATTGAACAAGTTTTTTGATAAGAAGTTCATGAAAACTTTGTGTTTTTTTCTTATGACAAATGTTTCTTGCTCTAAAATCTTGATCAAAGTGATCATAATGGAACCAACCAAAAAAAAAAATAAATTTGATGCCTCTGTCATAAAATAAATCAAATAAAATAAACTTAGTTGACTAAAAACATCAATTGAGAATGACACAAAGATGATATAACGTCATATAGACTCCAGTCAACTATGTGACTATAATGCCAAAATATTTAAAGAAAAGTAGCCGTTAGAGCACCTGTGTACTGCCATTTTGTGTCATTCGGAGACATAACGTTTTCTCAAAAGCTTTTCGATCATTTTCCGATGATAAAAAACATGAAAATATTTGAATGTAAAAAGGAATATTGATAAAATATTGTATGTATTTGTACAGTATTATAATTATGGAATGATATAGAACGAAAGAAGAATGAAACAAACAAAAATAGTTTTGTCTTATTTCGATTACTTATTAATACCTATTATCATTATTATTTTGAATATATCTAAGTTAAATTATTATCAACTATTTCCCATCAATCACGCGACAAACAATAAATAACCGACCTATCAATCTCTCTATCTTCTCTTCTCTATCACTCTCTTTAAATAAAAATCGAATGAATTAATAAATAAAGATGAAAATTTTCCAGGTCTTTTTTTATCTTTTATGGAAATTTTTCTCTCACTTTTTTTTCATTCAGCGAATGAAAAAAGTTGAGAATAGAAAATGAAAATAAATTAAAAAAAGATTTTTACAAAATGAAGTATATGAAATGCATATAAATTAAGAGTAAA